TACCCTTGAAATCTCCCGTGTACTATGACTTGCAAACCTCGTTGGGAAATTGGTTGGACAGTGATCAGGAAGTGTCCTTTCAGTCGAGTGGGAATGGAGATGATCCTCCCATGGTCCTCCCCAAACCGCCCTTTACATCGCAGCAATGTCGCACGGAACTCTTGCGGTTGCATTCGTTACGGAAGTGTTTGAGCAATTCCATTTTAAAACCTCACTCGCACAAGGCCGCGTTGGAAGAAAATGCCTTGGAAGATAGTATGGAATACCACGCGGCCTTGCTGGAATTTGAACAGCGGGGATTTCCCACACTGGACGATGAAAACAATGAATTGGAGTTGGTATGGAAGGCCGCCTTTTCGCCGCAAAAGGAAGGCCATCACACTCTGGTGTGGGATCGAGCCTGTTGTTTGTGGAATATTGCCGCCTTGTATTCGCAAAAAATTCTCACACTGGCGGAGAATTATGCGGAAGAACGAGATGCTCAAAAACAAATCATTCAGTACTCGCAAACCGCGGCGTCGTTATTGAATATTCTCGGTCAACTAGTGTCGTCGGATGAGAATATGGACTTGGCCACGGTCGAAATGAGCAAACCCATGATTACCTTTTGGGAAAAATGGTTCTTGGCACAAGCCCAATCGACCATTCCCAAGATTGCTGATCAATCCAAGCATTCCATTTTGGCCGCGTTGCATGCCAGTACACATCAACTATTCAATGAAGCACTGGCATGTGCCCAAGATCCCCGGTTGCAGTCGGAAGTACCCCGGTTTGCCAAGGAATGGGGGGCCTACTGTAAAGCACAATCCATGTTGTCTTCTGCCAAGGCCGAATATCACATGGCATTGGCACACCGCACAACGCAACAATGGGGCCACGAATTGGCACGGCTCAAAACGTGTTGGCAAAAATTGCAAGAGGCGCACAAGTTCTTGGAAGCCGCGTCGGAAGAACAGTCATTGATTGGGATTCGTCGACAAGTGGACACGTATTTGCCCTTTGTGGAAAATCGATACCAACAAGCTCATACGGACAATACCACGGTCTATCAAGATGAAGTGCCGGCATCACTGCCGGATGTGGAACCCAAACAATTGGCCAAACTGAATGGAGGAACCTTGCCAGAACCCATGACCAATCCCAAGGTCAAACTATTTGTCAACTTGTAGTAGATTGGACTACATATAGTAGAGAGAAGGAGCAAAACAGGCAGAAACCTGGAAAACGTCTTTTGCGCGTGGAGGAATGAAATTGACTGAGCTCTCTCGCTAGCTAGCTAGCAAGCTACTAGAAGCATGTGTAGATTGAATCAATCCACGAGTTATTGTTATCTACTACTTTTCTAGTCTAGTAGTGGAAAACCCTCTGCTGATTGCCTACTATACTACTGTGATTGTTGTTTTTGCTCTTTTTGCCTCTTGAGTTCTTCCCCCCATGTTCCCCGGTAAAAATTCATTTTGGCACGCCATAAATGATCCACAGTCTCATTGGTAGGAAGCACATATGGGCTTCCAAGGATTGCATGCCAAAGCTGCTCCATGGCACAACACGGCCTTCGGGACATCTTTGGTCCAAGCCTTGCTGCATTGTATATACTAGTCTGTAATTGCTTGTATAACTCCACAGGTTTTGCCCTGATTCGATCGGGAGATACTGCAAAACAGGCTCCAGATCGGGTCATGCTGCTTGTGGCATTCACATCGGAGGTGGCATTTTCATGGATCTTGAGATATGGCATTTGCATCGTGTCTAGCACCTGCCTGGCATAGTATCGGGTGTACCTGTTCCTGGCATTGACATTCAACAGCTGCAGGGACTTCGGGCCATAGTGGAGAAAATGTGAGCCATTCCATGTGGGAGAGTACTCCATGGTGGCATTGATGAGCTCTTGGATGGTCTTGAAGGGGGAATGCTGTTTACCATACTTTTTTCTTAGCCTCCCTCTCCCAAGCAGACCATCGGATTGGAAAAAGATATTGATGTCCGACAGATTGTCATACCTGTCAATCATAGTTTGTAGATATCCTGTACATTCTTCTGAGCCGGCATTTTTCCATGGACGCGAGAATCTGGGGGAGATTGTTTGGCCACAGGTTTCGTAAATCACCAATTTCCAATGAGATGGGATTTCTTCAATCCAACTCATTTGACTCCAGTCTTCCTCGCAGTGCACCACAGTCAATCCAACGGTAGGACCATGCGCCACAGTAGGACCATCCACCACAGTAGGACCATGAGCGTATTCAAAATCAGTAATCTTATTGGCAAGCTCCGAATCTTTACTGGTCAGAGCCTCTTTGATGGCATGAGCCCATTCAGTCTCTTGTTCTGTCAAGTCCATGCTCATGATACTTTTGTATGGCACCACAGTTTGACCATCCACCTCAGTAGGACCATCCACCACGGAACCTCGGACTGTCAGAGATCTTGCCATCGAGCTAATCTTAGTTTGCAGCAGCAGATCTTGTATATATTTCATGTTTGTCATGGAGGAAATGCACTGTAGAAATGTCAATGCAATGCCAAACCCCAGAAGAAGGACATTGTTCTGCTTTCCACATCCCTCTGCCGTGAGCCGTCGTTCCGTTTTCCGTGCTTTTGCCCTACTGAGCTTGCTTCTTGCCGTGATGAGTTTTTGCATTTTGTTTCAGTTGTTGAATGGATGGATGGTATCTTCTAAAATATTCTACTATCTTTCACCAAAAACATTGGAGTGAGATGTCAAATCTTTTAATCTTTTATAAATGTGAGCAAAGCATGTCGTGGTTGATGTTTAGCGAAAGGGGAAGTCATCAATTAGGGCAGAATGCCAGCCGAGCTAACTATGCACATAAAATGGTGAAGTTAAGGCTGCCGTCCCTTGTGTGCTACAGAGTACAGTTAGTCGTACTCAGCTACGGTACCGTACCAGTAGTACATGTATCATAGCTGGTAGCTAGAACCAAGCAATTACCTGGCTATGGTACAGCACCGTACAATCAAATGGCTTGGTGTGGGCTTGGCATGTGTATGGGTCGATCCCTGCACGTAGGGGTCTGCCTCTGTACCAAAGACTCGGCTCTGGATTAGGTGTGTGAGTCGTCAGCCACATCCATGTCTTCTCCCGTGAATTCCCAGATCGAAGGAGAGAATTCGTCCAAACCTCTCTGGAGGATTTCGCCAGGACTCAGTTGGTAGTATGCAGTAAGGGAGCCTTAGCCGGCCTCGGGAAGGCTCCTCACCGCCAAGGACTTGGCCAGCGCCCAGGTTGGGAGATCCCTGGTTGGTGGAGATCTCCCCTCTGCTAGGCTGTCAAAACCTACTCTCGGAGCTACTCAAGAACCGCTTTTCTGGAATGATGGAGGAGCGGATACTTGTATATTCATCTGCACCATCAAGAAAAGTAATGAATCTGAAGCAAATTCCTAGTCATTTCCCAATATTTGGCTAGTGGTCAAGCTTGGTCGGCTGTTGGTTCCTGTGTAGAGGGCCAACGGCCATACCGGTAGCTTATCTAGAAGGTCTAAGGCCGTCTACAACCGTGTGCATTACCAGCTACTACTAGCTAGAAGAATGCGTAGATTGAATCCACGAGTTGTTGCTACCTAGTTCTTCGAGCTTGTTTGAACATCTTCCTATAGACTGTGCTACAAGGACGTACGGCTATTATTAATTTTGCTTACATGTCGATCCTCGCAATAAATGGAAGAATCCCAAAACATGGGAGCCCGTCGAGCCATACCATCAAACCTCCAAAGCCGAGAAGGCAGTCACAAAGGTAGTCACGAACGAAGGAGAGGAATGCCACCGATTCGATTCGCTCCTGGCTCTCCCTGCTGGTCCCCTCTTTGTAGCCGAGGATTCCTCTGTGCGATGGTCATTTGGGGAATCCAAATCACGACTGCCATCTCTAATGTATCGTCCTTTGCACTCGAAACAACGTCACCAACACTGCACATTCCAAGCAGCCAGAGATGATACCTTTGGCAACGCCCTCGCCCTGGTCATTCTCGTAGCGTAGTTTGTGCTGCTTGTGAATCGAGTCTTCTGCTCATTGCCTACCGGTACTACTACTAGTACTGTGATTGGATTGTTGTTGTTGCTGTTGCTCTTTTTGCCTCTTGAGTTCTTCCTCCCATCTTCCCTCATAAAAATTCATTTTGGCATCCCATAAATGATCCACAGTCTCATTGGTAGGAAGTATGTAAGGGCTTCCCAGGATGGCATGCCAAAGCTGCTCCAATGCGCAACATCGTGGTCGGGATTTCCGTGATCCACCCTCTTCAAAAGCATCGTACAGGCTATCCCGCAATTGCTTGTATAACTCCACAGGTTTTGCACGGATTCGATCGGGAGATACCGCAAAGCAGGCTCCAGATCGGGTCATGCTGGATGTGGCATTCAAAGCGGTGTTATTCTCGTGAATTTTGAGATAGGGCATTTGCATTGTGTCTAGCACTTCCCTGGCATTGTAGTCAATGTAGTTCTCCTTGGAATTGACATTCAAAATCCGGAGGAACTTGGGGCCATAATGGAGAAAATGAGATTCATTCCACGAAGGAGAGTACTCCATGGTGGCATTGATGAGCTCTTGAATGGTCTTGAAGGGAGAATGCTCAATGGTATAAAACTTTTGTGGCCTCCCTCGTCCCAGCAGACCATCGGATTGGAAAAAGATATTAATGTCGGGCAGATTGTCGTACTGGTCAATCATGGTCTGTAGATATCCCGTGCATTCTTCGGGACCGGCATTCTTCCAGGGACGTGAGAATGCCTTGGATATGGTTTGGCCACAGGTTTCGTAAATCACCAATTTCCAATGAGAGGGAATTTCGTCGAGCCAGCTCATGCGACTCCAGTCTTCATTGCAATGGACCACCGTCAATCCAACGGTAGGACCATTCGCAACGGCGGGACCTCCTCGGAATGTCAGAGATCGGGCAATGGAGCGACTTAGATCTTGTAGATTTGAAACGTCCGCCATGTAGGAAACACACTGTAGAAACATCAATGCCACGCCAAACCCCAAAAGAAGGAGGCGTCTCCGCTTGGAGCATCCCTCTCCCGTGAGCCGTGGCTCCTGTTTCCGTGTGGCTTTTGCGAGCTTGTTTCTTGCGGTGATGAATTTTGGCATTTTAATGAATTACGTTTGTTCAACTAATAACTTGTTGGATGGATGGATGGATGGATGGATGGATGGATGGATGGACGGATAGATGGATGGATGGATGGAATCAGTCAAAAAGAAATGAGGAGGAGCTTTCTATAGTCTACTACTGTACGGAAACTTGTGGAGCGAGATGTACGAATTGCTTCTGACTGCTATTGTCCATGACAAAAAAAAGCAGAGCGCATCTCTCGCTTTGTTTTGCTTCGGTTGGATGGCCTGGCATGCACAGAGACCACGTGAAGTTGTTGTTGTTGTTGATCGTGCAGCTTCCGGGCCAGTGCTTTGTTTCAGTTGGATGTGGACGTTATTGGAGACCACGTCCGTCGCGAGTTGGGCGAAATAGGGTCATCGATGACGTCATAAATATGACCACTTTTGGAACGGGCCCGGGTCGCTCCTTAACCCTTTTATTTATATCTTTTGGAATACGGGCACAGAAGAGTCACCGTACCGGTACTGTATCGGAGTGACAGTTTTCGGTTGGAGCACTGCAGTCCGCAGCCACTCAAAATACCTGAATCATGATCGTCTGTTGACCTGTTGTGCTGTTGAGGTCAATGGCAGCTCCTTCTTCTCCTCTCATTCCAAAGTTAAGTTTGGTTGACAATACAATGGCACGTCCAGTCTGCAACAACAGCGAAAGGAAGAAAGGAAGCTGTTAGTGCCGTGCTACAGAGTGGATTCTATTATAGTGGATTCAATCTTACTAATATCATGGCTGCCCCGAGAACTCCAAGAGCAAGCACTGCAAGATGCCACTATGATACCGGTAGCTGGTTGACTGACGTTCCTCCTACCAATAACCCGTTCACATCATGCTGGATGCCTGTCACACACAAACAGGACGATCGATGAATTGAATCAACGCTGCTTCATTCAATACTGGATGGAGAACGTTAGTGAAAAACTCAAAACTCAAATTTGCGTGCTCAGAGCCATTGGGGTAAACTGAATTGGCAGCTTGCTCCGTGAGGACGACAAGTGCACACGACGACGACAAGAACAAACCACCTCCATCATTACTACTGGCAACGCTCCATTGGGTTGAGCTGGCCTGTCCCTGTTTCGGAGAATACCAGTGCCAGCGATCTGAGTTTTAGTACGCATTGGCCAGCCAACAATCAGTTCTGGAAAGGTACGTTGATGGAGCATGCCCCTGAATGATCATTGAATCGAATCGTCTTGTGTTGTGTTGTGTGTGTGACTGCAAAAACAAAACTCTTTCCCATTTGAGAATGATGAGACAATAACTTCAACAAGGATCGATAGGACTGAAATTCTTTTATGATGAGAATTGATATTTTATTTTCTGACTCAAATAATAACCATGTGGCTGGAGAATGCAAAAAGTCATGCTTTGTCTGGGCCTGACCACTCGCTATGGAACATTGTTTATGCATTTTGATAAGCAATGTCACACTAATTTGTGTTGCTTCCTTTGTGTTTCACTTTAGGCTGTTCATGTTCAAGCGAGTTTCAAGCAGTTGGTTCCACAAACCCATCAAAAGCCACCGAAAGACCAGCCATTGACAGATAAAGAAGGCTCAAGACTATTACTGCAATCTACCGTACGGGAGAGGTTCATTTCGTTTCATTTCATTTCATTTCCACCAAGCGTGGCAAAGATCCAGGATTTTGTTGTTGTCTCATGTTACACAAAAAGTCGCAGGTACAACTGCTGCCTCCGTGGCTTGATTATTCCGCATATGTGTCCACATCAGAGTAGCTAGCATTCAAAACTCCTCAGAATCGAATCCCAGGCGGACTTGTCATCCTTCTCGTGCTGCTACAGATTCCACCTTGGTGGGGAGCAACATCTGGGTCTCCTCTTGGTCACCCCTGCGGGATTTCTTGCTTTCTGTCGAAACTTCTTGATGGCACCACAAGCCCACAAGCAGCCCAGCCTCGGATTCTGCAGAGGTTCCATGGCAAAGGTTGATGTCCGTAGTACAGTGTACCGTATTGGTACAGAGTGTCCTTCGGCGAAGACTCATTTGGCATTTTGGTCAGTTTGACATTTCCAAAAGTCGTTTTGACGTTCATTTTGCTGTTTAGGAAAACGAAATTTCACAAAATAATATCTTTAGTCACACCAGAACACCAAAGAACAAAAAGGCAAATTGAAGTGACCTAGCAAGCTAGATTAGCTACAGTTCAAATACCCGTACAGGATATGCACATATGCACACACAAAATCATGCTATGAGAGTCCTCATTGTTGGTGGTGGCGTGGGAGGCTTAACATTGGCCAAGGCTCTCCTGGTCAAGGCAGAAGAGGAACGCAAGGATGTCAAGGTGGTAGTGTTGGAAAAAGGAACAGAACTGGCGACATCGGGCCACGGCGTGACTTTGTTCGAAGGCCTTGGCATTCTTCATCGCCTTGGGTTGGGGTCCTCACTCGTCAAGGTGTCGACCGTGTTGACCGATCAAGTCGTCTCGGCGGACGGCAGACTTCTAGTGGAGACATCATCCAGCAACAACAAGCCTACGCAGTTTGCCCCTCGAGGAATCCGCCGACCCGATTTGGTCCATTTGTTGAAAGAATCATTGCCAGATGATATTCTCAAGTTGGATTGGCAAGTCGTCAAGGTAGAGGAGGCTGACGACCAAGTGAGTGTAGTGAACCAGCGTGGCGAGGAACTGAAGGGAGACCTTTTGGTGGGCTTTGACGGAATTGGCGGCAAAGTGCGTGCCTTTGTTACAACCGCCAGCACGGATGAGAAATCTGCAAAATCCATGCGAGAATTCGGACAATGCTGTGTCTTGTTAGGTACGGCCAATAAGTTACGAGAAACTGGTGGTGATGCCAACAACATTATTTCATCAGACGGAACCCTGGTGCATCATTTTGACCGAAAAACCGGTTCTGTTGGAGTATTTTCTGGCACCAGCAATGGGCAGTTTGCTTGGACGATTGGGTACCGATGCCCCAAGGAGCCCGAAAGAAATCCAGATTGGAAGAACAACGACAAGGCGCTGAAAGCTGCCATGGAGGTTGTCCAGCAATGGTCCGGTTCGGCTTCTGCACAATTTCAAACCCTCTTGGCAGGATCTTCTGGTTGTCTTCAATTGGGAGTCTACACACAGCCAAAGAGAGAATTGCAGGCGCCTTGGCATCGTGGGAGACTCGTGTTGGGTGGTGATGCGGCGCACGCAGTCCTTCCTCTCCTTGGCGAAGGTGCCAATCTGGCCATGTCGGATGCTGTGGTGTTGGCCAGACAAATTCTGCAAGTGCAAATTCCAACCAAGGAAGAGCTTGAAGCTGCCTTTAAGAGATATGAGGAAGAACGACGAGGACCCAGTCAGTCGGGAGTTGCCATGACCAAGGCACTTCGTCCGGTGATGCTCAGCCAAAACTGGTTGGTGTGCCAGCTGCGCAATGGCATGATGAAGCACATGATCGGTGCCAACTGGTCCAGCTCTCAGTTGCGGGCGCAAGATGCTTCCTTGCTTCTCGACAAGCCCATACAAGATCGCAACCCCCATGCCAATTTGGGATCAAACGTGGGCATGGTTCTGGCTCATGTTGCAGTTATCGGTGGAGGGATTGCCTTGTCTCTGTACTTGCTGAATCGGCCCCGAACTTAGAAGCAAGTAGAACCTTAAACTTTCAATTCAAAAGTTTTCTTGTCTGGCTTGTGAGGTCTATGCTACCAGACAAGTTCCTCCAACCTCAGCATGCTTCCAGCATTTGCGCCGTCTCTAGAACCAAGCAAATACTAGCTAGTTACCTGGTTATGATCAAGCAAATGACTTCAAGACGCCAGGGCAGGGCGTGGAAGCATGCTGGCAGTTGGCCAGCACCCCACTACAAACTGGGGAATTATTTTATCCAGTAGGCTAGCAAAGGAAGGAACCGCCAACAAAGCTGAAGTGAACGCCGAGGATCGCATCAGACCGCAGGACCAGGCAGCCAGGAACAGGAACCAGGGGCAGCCAGGAAACAGGGACACAACCAAAAGGAATAGCCAACAGGGACTAGCCAAAAAGCCAACCAGGACAAGGTGGGATTGAACCAGTATCATCAACATCTTTTGGAAGACTCTTCAAAGAGGTGCCTTGAAGACCTTCAGATCCAAGGGACAAAGAGCACAAGTGCAACCAACCACCAATCAGGGACATTGCCAAAAGGAACAGGGCCAAGAGAGAGCCAACAGGATCAGGCAGGCCAGGAACAGGGAGGAACCAGGGCAGGGACAAGGTTGGATTGAACCAAAGTATCTTCAACATCTTTTGGAAGACTCCTCAAAGAGGTGCCTTGAAGACCTTCAGATCCAAGGGACAAAGAGCAAAAGTGCAACAGGGACCTTGCCAAAAGGAACAGGGCCAAGAGGGGACCAAGAGGGAGCCAAACACAAGGCAGCCAACCAGCAAACCCAAACCAAACCAACCGAACGACCCGATCCACCAACCAACATAGAATGGACGACTCGTCACTCGACTCTACTAGCTAGCTACCGGTAGAGCTGGAGCACCAAGCGCAAAGGATCAAAACGAGCGTTGCCAAAAGTGGTGGAGCAACGGCCAATTCAAGCAGCTTCGACGGTTTAAAAAGGGCTCGACGTGCGAGCACAATGACGGCTCTGTTCCAAAGACTTGACCGACGGACCTTGCAAGAGGGAGGACCTTGGGAGCTTGTGCATCTAACAAAGAAGAGCAAGGGCAACAAGAGAATGGTGAGACTTGAGCTGAGAGTAAAATAAAAAGCAAAGCACCAAGGCCGCATGCATGCATGCATGCCACTTTTGCTCAGCGAAGGAACACCTACTCGAGTGCTCACGACACCTTCCAAAACGAATGCTGACTCCGAAGAGCAAAGAACTACTCATGACATGCATGCATGCATACTCGTAGACCGTACCTGTTGTGTTATTGATGATGATGATGAGACTCGAACACGAACGCCAAAGCACTATTATCAAGACCTACGTTGGGAACTAAAGGAGATGAGGCGGAACGATCGGTCGACGACCGTGAAACAAACAACAAACAACGCGACAATGGCACAAGACAGGAACACCGGACTTACCTTGCACGAGTACGCTCCATCTCCACTGGAACCACCGCAAGATGACACCTTTCCCAGCGTATATTAACAGGGGCGCACCAGCGAGTCTCAACCACGGGGCTCCCGAAGGAACCACGGGCCCCCGAAGGGGCGGCTGCAAAAGCAGCGCCGGAGAAAGGTGTCATCGTCATGCATTGGAAGAAGAAGTTGTGGTTGTGCTGAGCGAGAAAAAGAGAAAGAGCTTGCTGAACGTCGTTTCATTCGTTTCGTTTCAGCGACGACTTTTTCAAGATCAACAACTCAAAATCATCAAAATCGAAGAAGGTGTCAACATCAAAAATAAATCAAAATGGAGCTCCTCGTCATGGTTTCTCTTGGGCGGCAACGTTTTCGCAAACCAAGTGAAATGAAAATCAAAATGATTCACACGACAAAACGCACGCGTCGGAAAAGGTACGAGGGGATGCGCGATTCGATTCGATTCGATGAGACGACGCTGGAGTCTTCGGTTGACTATATTTGAACTTGCACTACTAGCACTCGAGAGTTAGTTAGCAAAGGCATTTCATTTAGCTCACAAGCCACCACATAATGATGGTTCCGATATGAGTCTCAGTCAGGGCTACGCTCCTGTTCATGAATCGGTCCTAGCAATTGTGCCACCGACAAGGGGTCACTTTCGAACAGTCTCGTGGACGGGAAGCACGTCCGATATCGCCTCACGGAACCTGGCGGGTTGAGAGCAGGGCGACGATGGAACCGCATATCTCGAGCGTCGCCGTAACGGCCAACATAATTGCCGCATGACGAGTAGAGTAGATTGTGATCGTGTTCCCGCGTGGTGTTCAACTGCCTTGCAGCCACCGACTATTACGGTTGTTAACCCGGGCGTTTGAGAGCCACAGTAGAACCACATACCTCGAGCGTTGCCGACAACGTACCTGCCGCATGAGGGGTACATTGGAATCGTGTTCCGCGTGATATTCGACTATTGTGGCTGTTGCTGCTCTTTCTGTCGTTTCAATTCTTCCTCCCATGTGCCATTGTAATAGTTGACTTGAGCTTGCCACAAATGATCCACAGTATCATTGAGAGGAAGATAGTATGGACCTCCCAAGACGGCATGCCAGAGGTATTCCAAGGCACAACAGCGTTGTCGTACTGCATTTGCCCCACCCTGTGCTAGGGCCACATACACACTATCTTGTAGTTTCCGGTATAGCTCCACGGGCCTGGATCGGATTCGGTCCGGGGTGACTGCAAAACAGGCTCCTTTTCGTGTGTAGCTTCGGGTGGCATCCTGTTGTGCTTCGGGAAGCTTGTCAAATTCGTGAATCTTCTGATACGGCATTTGCATAATATCCAGCACTTCCCGTGGATGGGACTCCAAAAAGTTTTGCTTGGCATTGACATTCAGCAGCTGTAGGTACTTTGGGCCATAATGGAGGAAATGTGATCCGTCCCAAGTAGAGGAATATGCCATGGTGGCATCCATAAGATCTTGGATGGTCTTGAAGGGAGTATGCTCTAACCAGTAATTTTTGGAGTGAACTCCTCGTCCAACCAGGCCATCGGATTGAAGAAAAATATTAATGTCTGGTAGATTGTCGTATTGTTCAATCATGGTCTGTAGATACCCTGTACATTCCTCAGAGCCGGCATTGATCCACGGTCGTGATGACTTGGATATATGCTCCCCACAAGTTTCATACACCACCAACCTCCAGTGAGAGGGAATCTCTTCGATCCAGCTCATTTGACTCCAGTCTTCCTTGCAATGGACCACAGTCAATCCGATGGTAGGACCGTCACGACTATCCAGTCCCAGCTGCAACCCCACGGAAGATGCCAAGGAGCTGCTGATGAGTTGACTTTGAAAGGTTTTCAAATCGACGGAAAAGGCGATACACTGCAGAATGGAAACTCCAATTCCTAGTCCCAGCACAAGGGCAGCCACGACCTGTCTTCCCGTACACTTGTCGTCGCCATCCTCTCGAAGCTGCTTTTGTTGTTGCACCTTCTTTCGGGCTGCCGCCGTGGCTCCCTTTGGCATGATGTTTTGCGGTCGTCCTGATCGTCTAGTTAGGAGGAAGCAATGGAGAATATGTATGGAGAAGAGACCTTCTGGCTAGCGGTTTAGCAGTAAAGGGATGCTATGAAGGAACGCCAAGAATGCAAGGATGGACACAATGTCATGGATACATGCAGGAGGAGGATCCGAAGTCCATGTCACGCCTTAGCAAAAAAGGCTAGAGGACAAAATTGTGGGTCTTTTGGACGATTGTTTTGTCAAATTTATGACTTTTGCTCATTTTTTAAAACATCATGATCCACGCGTGGAAGAAGTCACTCCTTCCACGCTCCAACCATGGTCCATGAAGCGCCGACGACCCAGCTCCTCGGCAACCAGTGTCATCCCAATTCCTTTTGTGAGATGAGTGATGAATTTCGCTTTTTGTAGAGGACGCTTTTATCGTTGTAAAAGCCGCGAAAACAGTCCATGACACTACAAAACAATGGTACATGAAGAAACCACAGTTGCTCCAGAGTTCCAGAACAGCGGGTGCCATGCCTGGCTTCGAAGATATTTTGGGTTGCCACCCTCCTTGTCTGTGGGTCGTTGAACATTTGATTCCAGATTAAGTAAAGTCATAACCTGAGCTGTTTGTGGTATTTTTGGTACCAGTTCCTGAAAAGTCATAACCCGGGTAGCTTGTGGCCTGATATGTGGTGTTATTAGCATCATAAGTTTCTCTGATGAGGGATTCCCTTTCAATGTCATCATCCCATTCATGCAGTTGGTATCTGTCGGGGCAGCACCAATCAATCCACCTCTTGCACCAGTCCGTAATAAGAGGGTGAAAAAGGAGAATGACACAAACCAGAATGAGGATGACCCATCCCATGATTTCATGATGCTGCACTTCTGCCTTGGACCCTTCACACAGACATTCCCAGCTTGTCATTTGGCATTTGGACTCTACCGGGCAACAGCAATAAGATCCGTCATTGTAATTATCATTCCCTGCGGGGATTCCACAGTATTTCCCGGGTCCACCTTGGTAGGCTAGAGAGCAATCTCCATCGCGTTGGCACTTGTGACATTCCGGAGATGGATACAGGCCCGGAAACAGTTTGTTGTCGTGTCCCATGAGTGAGCGAATGAATTCCAGTGCCCACAAGATGGCAGCAACAATGACAATGGCCATTACAAAAACAAAGACGGACACAGAGAGACATGCAACACAATTGTCACATATGTATGTGAGACAGCAGCCAAGATTGGACCGAAAGGATCTCCGCATGGTGTCAATATACTTGTTCAATGAAGGATCGTATAGTGTAGTTTGGTCGAGATTGAGAGAGATGGTTGCTACGTTTGCAGTGGGGTGCTTATTGATTGTGGGGTGTTAGCCGTCATCCTTCGGGCATTGACACGTCTCGAGGCCTGATGGCAACCGGATTCTGCATATTAAAAGCGCTTCTTCGCCTCTGCATGCCCCCCCCCCCCAGGCTTCAGGAACCGCTACATACGGAACCATCTTCCCTTTCCAGATTACTCTTGTAACAAAGACAGCAGAAAAAACTAACTGCAAAAGTCGGGCCCTTCCGCCCACGTGTTTCACCCTTATTGATCCTCTGCTCTCCCCGCCAAGCCCGCTACCGAAGGGTTGTGGGGGGCTAGACTGGGCAGAGTGGTAAGCCGGCTGCTGAAGATGTACTTTGTGGTTGCAACAGTGGTCCCGCGACCCAACCAAGACTTTGTGAGATGACTGCTGAATTTCACTTGTACTAGTAGAAGACAGGGCAGTAATTAATTTACTTTGTGGAAATAGCAAAAGCAGTCGATGATGCTACAAAACAGCATCTGATTACTGGTACATTAAAAGGGGGTTTAGAGTAGGAGCTGATCTACGGAAGCGAGTGACGATTCATAACCTGACCTGGTTGTGGTGTTTTTGGTACTGGTTCCTGAAAAATCATAACCTGAGTTGCTGGTCCCATGATTATTTGTACCCGTTCCAGTAAAATCATATCCCAAGGTGCTTGTGGCCTGATATGTAGTATTCTTGGCCTTTGCATGGATAGGTGTGCGGTGTTACCGCTATCGTTCGGGGTTCGTGGGTTGCCAAGTCTGGATCCGAGTTTTGCTCCTTTGGCAGTTGGAAGCTTTGGAAATAGTTCCCACGCCGGTATCTTGCTTCTGGAATATGCGGTAAATATGATCACCCCTAAGGTGGTCCTTCCGTTGAAAAGATCGCCGGTATCGGTATCTTTCTTCTGGAACTTGTGGTAACTATTTGCCGGCATTATTACCCCCTCTTCTCAGACCTCAGATCTGACTTACTCTGACCGGAACCAAGCAGCAGCAAAAAAGCAAAGCCCCACAACCCACAACGCAGGAGGAGGAGTGGAGGAAGAAGCCAGAAGCTCAAGTTCTTTGGTATGTACTTAGCTATATATTAGTATACGTACGTGTTGTGTTGGTAGTACTGGTATAGTGAGGAGTCAAGTCGAATGATCCAGTTATTGCGGCGTCTTGGGTCTGGAATTGTGTGTGCTACCACCAAAGCAAGATCTCCACGAAGCATCCGATGCTGTTATTATCATTACCACGGTCCAACTGCAACTACAACTACAGCAATAAGCAGAAGAATCATGCTTCCTGATGAGGAGAGTCCTGGCGACTTTCCGGAAGGATTGACGCCATCTGCTTTGGATGGGGTCAACAGCACCAGTCAACGAGATCCGACCCTTTTGGTGTGGGATTTTTCTCCTTCTTCCACTACTACTGAGAATGACAGCAGTAAGGCAGAAACTCAAGACAGTGCCGATCAAAGCGATTATGTGAAAATCTACCTGAGAACGCCCAACCACGAAGATGAAGACGAGGGCAAAGAAAAGGCAGCTACTACAGATACAGAACACCACCACTACCACTACTCAGATGTTGCTACTACTGAAGTACGAATGACGAGAAGTGATTGAAGCGTCTGTACTCAATACCAACGTCAATTGCGCAAGACACGAGCGCCAAAAAGGCAGGGCCAAACTCGACCAATCAATTGGAAATTGTCTACGAGGACCTCAATTGCCGTGTGACAAACCGGCCGGGGTCTTGTGTGTCCCTGGCATTCGCAATAACGACAGCATTGCCAATCTGCTCTTTGACAGACAACAACACAACAAAAGTCGGTTGAAAAAGAAGAAGATGCCTGCCAGGACGCCTGTTCCATGGCCGTTCATCGACTCGATATGGATACGTCCGGTTTGGTCGTCTTTGGAAAAACCAAATCGGCCGTATCCACACTCCATCAAGTCTTTCGACAAACCAATGACAAGGACAAGAAGAGCAAAAAGAAGAAGAATCGACAACAACCCATTCCGAAACAGCAATCCAGCATTCAAAAAGAATACGAAGCTCTCGTCTGTGGACACTTTCCCGTGAATGCCGGACACATTGATTTACCCCTCCAACGCGACGTCCATCATCCGCCCTTTATGCGCGTCTCGACACCCTTTTCGGAAACACTGGCGCGCAATGTCGTGGATGCCCTTCGACAACGCAACTGGACCAACTTGTCCAAACGAAATCCCAAACCCAGTCAAACGCAATTTCGGGTCCTCCAACACGAGTTTTTGCACGACCAGCCAGTCACCCGACTCGCCCTGACACCGCTCACGGGACGGACCCATCAATTGCGCGTCCATTGTGCCGCCGTGGGATTCCCCATTGTCGGAGATCCTGTCTATGGTCTCTACGGAGAATCGGCGTTTGCCGGGGGATTGCAGCATAATCGTGTGGAAATTGTTGGAAAGAATACTGATAGCACTTGTCAAGAAAAGGTCGTTTGGAGGGCACCCATCGCGTTGCAAAAGGAACTGCTACGAGTGCATCCACCCGACGAAACGTACATGTGTTTGCATGCCAAACGATTGGGGTTTCCACATCCAGTCACAGGAAACGAAATGGAGTGGCAAGTGCCTCCCAAATTTTGAATGACTCGGCCGTGGGGTGTTCCTCTACCGGTACCGTATATCCGTTTGTCCGCAAAGGAAGTTGCGTCGTTTCCTGGTCGCAAGAGGGGGTTTGGGGTCTCGAAAGAGCGCTATCATGCCTAAACAGGTTTTGTTCTGCGAATGTTCATCTAGTACAAACAGTAGCTAGCAACGGGTTTGGAAAACGATACATAGCTTTCTCATTGAGAAGGGACTGCTCGTGTACCTAGCAGTCTATTTGTTGGTGGATTTCTCGCCTTCAGTTCCGCCGAAGTTGTACAGCGTTGCGTGGGAGGAGTGCTCCCTCCAACAACCGAAGACGCAAGGTTACTGTGAAGCAGGCGGAGGCCTCTGCCTTTTCAGTTCTTCTTCCCATGTTCCACTATACAAGTTCAATTCGGCATCCCACAAATGATCCACAGTGTCACTCGGAAACAGCTCATAGGGTTTTCCAAAAATTGCATGCCAGAACCGCTCCACAGCACAACATCGTTTCCTGCCTTCAATTCCACCACCCTGCAGATACACACTAGTCTTTAGTTTCTTGTACAGTTGCACTGGTCTAGTTCGGATGGCATCCCTTGTGACTGCAAAACAGGACCCTATCCGGGTGTAGACCTTTGTGGCATCCACTGCGGCTGGATTGTCATTTTCATGATTCTTGAGATATGGCATTTGCATAGTGTCCAGCACTTCACGGGGATGGTAGTCCATAAAGTGCTCCTTGGCATTGACATTGTTCAATTGTAGAAACCTAGGACCAAAATGTAGGAATTGAGAGCCCTCCCAAGTGGATGAATGTGCCATGGTAGCATTGAAGAGCTCCTGTAGAGATTTGAATGGAGTTCTCTCGGTAGAATAGGTCTTGTCCAGAGCTCCATGGCCAATCAGAGCATCTGGTTGCAGGAATATATTAATGTCTGGCAAATCATCATAATGTTCAATGATTGACTGGAGGTATCCAGTACATTCATCATAGCTGGCACTGTACAATAGTTTTGAAGCTTTGGACATTGTTTGCCCACAAGCCTCATAGATTACAAACTTCCAGTGAGAAGGAACTTGATCCACCCAGTTCATTTTCCCCCAATCTTCGTTGCAGTGAATCACGGTCAACCCTACACTGGGGCCACTTTGAGAACTACTCTCCGCATCAGCATCTTTCTTGGTAGTGGGTTGCTCAGCCGAAGTCGATTGATTCTCAGGAATCTGGCTGGTGATTTCGGTCTTGGCTACTGGAGAGTACTCGGCGGCCGTATGAAGATACCTTTTCACAGCCATTTTCTGGGAAAAGGCGAAAAAGATCAGCGTCCCAATGCCAAAACCCAGCAGAAGATCCCGCAGCACTCCCCTAGCTGTCCAATTGGATCCTCTCTCAGCATTCGCCTCCGGTTTCGTGGTCTTCTTTGCTGACCTTGCTTCTATGGTTCTTCGTGTCTTTCGTCGTGGCATGGCTGGGTAGAAGCACGGGTCTCCGAGTCCGCAATACCAGGTAGTCTAAGATCAACCCTACTATGCATTTTGCTGGCCTGATCAAGGAAAAGAGATGAACCGAAATTGGCGATTGGCGGCACAGAGCGATTTAAAGTCTGCCTGAAGTATCCACGGCTGAAAAAACTAGAGCGTCCGTTCGTCTGCCTTCTCAAAATTGTGGATTTGGACCTCAAACAAAAACCTTCAATTTCAGCTGTGACAGACATGTGTGACCGCGATAGCTGTCGTGTGCGTGCTGTTTGTTTAGAAACAACCATGCTCATGGATGATGCGCATCCACAACTATTAACAATTGAGCCCCATAGAGGTCGGAGCATCATTCGATCGACAACAACGGCGAAGGGACACAAGGGAGACAGCTGACAAGCTGGGATGACCACGAGCAGCAAAAAATGGCAGCAAAAACCAATTTGGAATCGGAGGAATTTGATGTCCTTCAAGCTGTGCATGCACGCTCCTCCGATGCTAGACAACGAGAGGCGGAGCTCCAGAAGCTGGAGCAATATGAGCAGGACAACCAGAGGGTCCAACAAGCAGCAGCAGCTGCTGAACAAGAGAAAGCACACCAGCAAGCTAGGACAGCTCGGCAAGCAGATTCTACCAGCAGCCGTGTCCAGAATGGGAAAAGCAGAAGTACCACCAAGAACAGCAGCACAAGTACCGGTACTGGGCACACCAGTGAAGAATTTCTGAATATTGATGAAATTGCCAAACTAGCCGAAGCCCGGCAGAGCCTCCAGCCTCCCGCATCCGCTGGCCCAAATTGCATCAGCAAACACCCTGGCAGTAGCACCACAACAGCTACCAGTGTGCCATTCAACATCGAAAATAATGGAAAGCAACAGATTCCACTTCCTGGCGGGGCACAACCAGGAGCATACTCAGGAGCTCCTGGCATGGACCCCCAAAGAACCACCAGACCTCGCTTTTCATTACTTGGGGTCGCTTCCGCCACAGTCGAACCAATGGCCGACCTAAGTGACCGTGATGGAAGCCTGGCGTCTGAGGACAGGGAAGAACCTGAGACGTCAGAATCTGCCCGTGCCCATAGTGAAAATCGATCCTTCAATGAAGGGCAAGTCGCTCATTTGAGTTCGAGAACAAACAGTCAGACTGTCGAGCACGCGAACCATGGTGATAATTTTGACGTGCCTGTAGTAAATAATGCTGCCAACAGTGACAGTACTGGCTTGGCTGTGGCGGCGCTGGTGGAAGAGGATGAGATGTCCCAAGATCTTCCACAAGCTGCAGAGTTTGATGTGGATGAATTACGAAGGAGAAAGGAAGAATCCATGAAAATATTCAAAACCAAGATGCTCCTGGCGGTAATTCTCTGCACTGCTGCTGTTCTGGTTTTGATAGCAGTGTTGATCAACAGAGAGCGACCGAAAGATTCAGAGTCGGAGCCTTCACTGGAGACAGCAACAAATATTTCTGCTCCTCCATCATCAGATATTATGGAAAAGATGCAAGATGATTTGCTAGCTCTCTTCGAAGACAAAACTGCTTTGGCCATCAGGGACGATCCTGAGTCACCCCAATCTCGAGCTTTTCAGTGGCTACTTGATGACATCGATGGCCGCCAAGCAGAACCATCCAACGACCGTCTAAGGCAACGATTTGCTTTGGCCACGCTCTATTTTGCCACCAGCGGAGACTCATGGGCCAACAATCAACACTGGCTCAACCACAGCATCCATGAGTGTGACTGGTTTACCAAGCCTGACTTTGCTTTGAAGGAGAAATTGTCTCAAATTCTTCCTGGTTACATTACAGAAATGTTTCCTCCGACTGATCCACCTCCTAGCAATTGCCATGATAACGGGCTGTATCGGAATCTGTGGCTGGATCAAAACAATCTGCAGGGCACACTGGCAGAGGAGCTCTTTTTGATATCATCCCTAGAGACACTGTCAATTGGAGTCGACAGTCTACATGGAAGCATTTCTACCCAGGTTGGACGGCTTTCCTTGTTACAAGGGATCTCAATTAGTTTTGTGCGCGATGCAGGGCCTATACCTTCAGAAATTGGTATGCTGACAAATCTGAGAACTGTTCTTGTCAGTGACAATGAGCACAGCGGATCAGTTCCCACGGAGCTGTGGCAGCTAACCAACCTGGTATCACTTTCTTTGGGAAATAATGGTGACTTGAAGAGCGCCATCTCAACTGAGGTTGGCAACATCCCCAAGCTCCGATGGCTCGTGATGGACTTTGGAGGTGTCTCTGGTAGGTTTTTGTTGCAAAACGTATGTGGTTTGATGGTAATGATCAGCAAAGGCTAACAATGTTGTTTCGTTAAGGCACAATTCCTACTGAAATGGGCAGGTTGAAACACCTTGAATGGCTTGCACTTCAAGGCAACAGTCTAACTGGAACAGTTCCATGTGAGCTTGGTCTACTTCAAAACATCTTGTCGATATCTCTACAAAACAATTCTCTTCTAGGGACCTTGCCAAGCGAGTTGGGGCTCCTAACATCGCTCACAATGCTTACCGCAGGCCAGAATACCTTTTCTGGCTCTATACCAAGTGAATATGGTCGCCTTTCCTCCTTGAATCTGGCTCTGAAGCTAGAAGAAAGTAGGCTCTCTGGTACAATACCAGTGCAGCTGGCCGACCTGGTTTCTCTGGAGACCCTTTATTTGCAAGATAACCACTTCACCGGCCACATACCAAGTGAATTTGGCAAGATGTCATCTTTGGGTCTGTTAAATCTTTCCAATAATTCCTTATCGGGAGTGGTGCCTCAAGAACTTGGAGAACTGAAACAGTCACTATTTACCTTGAATTTGGAGGAGAATCCACTTTTGTCTGGGGTGTTTCCAGAGTCCCTCTGTGGCCTCGATGGCGAGTGTGCTGGTACGGCATTGGTGCCATGTGAAGGTAACTATGGAATCTACTTTGACTGTAACAGCTTGATGTGCGGCTGTGGTTGCACTTGTGATGATAACTAGCTACCTACCAGTAGCATTCTTCCCTTCCACATGCAAAAGGATGTAAATGCCATTTGATTTGATTTGATTTGATTTGATTCACAGGGAAATTGCCGCCGACGCATTCTTTAGTTGCTACAGCTGTACCATACTCGCTGGCTAATACCATGAGACCACCATTTATTTTTCGATTGTGAGGCTCGTGTGATCGAGAATCGAACCGCGAGAGTGCATGCATGCATGCATGGTGTCGATTGAATCGAATCATTCAGATTCGATTCATCCGCCGCATCTCTCGAATGAATAGCGTTCGTGGCTCGACCATGCAGGCAATGTGCCTCGATCGACGTCGAAGCGTAAATGGAATAACCCCCGTGTCGTGGTATAAAAGTCGTTTGGATCGAATCGAATCGAGACTGGATCTGCGTCGAGCACGTAGATTGCATTGCATTTCATGGCTTCGCTCCCGTCGCTACGACGCTTGTTATTGTTGTTGTCTTTGTTGTCGTCGCTCCAGTTCTTCCCCCCACGTGCCACTGTAATAATTGTGCACGTCCGACCACAGCCGATCTACCGTGTTTTGCGACGGCAGCTCCAGCGGCTGACCAAAAATGACATGCCAGAGATTTTCCAAGGCACAACAGCGTCGACGACCGGCATTTCCATCGTTCCGGTTTTCCGCTACCACTTTCGAGACACTCGCTAACAATGCTTTGTAGTGTTCCAATGGCCGCGATCGAATCGAGTCTCGCGAGACGGCAAAATAGTGTCCTGCTTTTGTTTTGGTATGAGTGGCATCGTCTGCCTGGATGCGTTCGTGGTTTTTCAAATAGGGAATTTGAAAAATATCCAGAACCTCGCGGGTATTGTAGAGGTTAAAAGGGTCCTTGGCATTGACATTTTCCAATGTGAGAGCGCCCCTGCCGTAATGCAGAAATGCCGGTTCCTTCCACGTGCGAGAATGCTTCAGTGTGGCATCGAAGAGTTCCTGAAGACTCTTGAACGGAGTCCGCTGATTCTGGTACGTCTTGGATGCCGCACCGGCGCCATATCCAATAAACGCATCTTGTTGTAGAAAAATGGTGACATCCGGGAGATTGTCGTATTGGTCAATAATGGTTTGCACAAATCCCGTGCATTCGTCATTGCCATCGCTTTTCCAACGCTTGGAGGCTCCAAATTGTTTTCGCCCACACAGTTCGTAAATCACAAAATGCCAATGAGGTGGAACTTCTTCGATCCATCCCATTTCGTTGGATTTCTCACTGCAGTGATTGACCGTTAGTCCTACCGAAAGACCATCGTTGGGGGAACTGTTGGAGATGGTCTTTGGGGTAGCAGCAGTAGTAGTCGATGTGGTAGAAGTAGATGAGGTAGCAGCCCTGATGGGAGGATTCACAGTCGCGGGAACCTGTGTGGTTGACGCAGCCTTGGATGAGCCTGCTGCAGTGGCAGTGGTAGTGGTTGTTGGAGACGATCCAAAGGAGAGAGATAGAAACACCAACAAGCCGATTCCAAGCCCCACGAGAAAGTCGCCCTTTTTGCCACCAAGCCCTCCCTCCTTCAAGGACTTTGCTGCGAGCCTACTACCGGTACTACTCTTCTTTGTACTAGAAGCTGGTGTCTTTGTCGGCTCTTTGGTGGGTGCCGCTCGTCTGGTCTGAAGCAGTCTCATCGTACGGCCAAAGATATTTTCGGAGGTGCCATTGTGAGAAACAGCGGTTGGATTTTGGGTTGGTGGAAGCAAACTATTTGGATTTAAGAACCATTTTCATTATGTCCTTGGGTGCCGTACCGGTACCGCAATGCGGCCAAAGATCGGAAAGAACTCTGCGGATCTCGATCAAGTCGATCATTCACGCGGTTCGAACCTTGCTCAAGCCATGCATGTTTTCGTTTGAGGATTTGATCTCTGACTTCTACACTTTGATATCTATTGAGTATTAGTTTAGTCCTATTCTGTGGGATTGCTTTAGGATGTGTAGAGGAGTACCGGCAGCCTACTGCTGGGCTAAATTGAAATTTAGGATGTCCGACCCTTTTAGGATTG